TAGGAAGAGAAGCTGGTAATAGCCATTCCTTTGTAGGGCCCAGGGGAAAGATATAGGAAGTTCACAGAGAATAAACATGAAAGCCTGACTTTCTGTGGAGCCCTGAATCTCTAAGTGTTGGAAAACAGTGTTAATGACATGACTCCTCCATGGAGAGTTTTAGGTAATGTGGTAAATTTTATGTGAGGGACTGAGTCAGGGTGACCCAGCTGTACAAGAGGTATAAAGGTTATAAGGTCCCAGAGAGGGCAGTTGGGGATTGTGAAGTGAATTGAAAAGAAGAATGTCCATTCTTTGTACAAAAACTAAGAATTGATAACTTAAAACTTCAAAATAGCCTGGAGATGGGAAAAAATAAGGGAATTCTTTTATAAAGGAGAAAATGCATCTCAAGCTTGATTAATTTATCCCCCTAATTATTGAATGAGTAATAACCTATAATGTTTGGTTAAAGCTACAGAGCTTTTAAGAGCTTTTAAGCTCTCTCCCCTCCCCGCCACATCGGACCTGTTCACTTGTCTTAAAAAGTTCAAGGAATTGTTGTGATTATTTTACTCTGCTATAAAAAAGAATGAAATGCTACCATTTGCAACATCATGGATGGACTTAGAGAAAATTATAATAAGTGAAACAAGTCAGGCACAGAAAGAGAAATACCCCATGTTCTCACTTATTTGTGGGAGCTAAAAATAAATAAATAAATAAATAAATACACAAACAAAGGATAGGGGGTGGGAAGAAGACACAACAATGACCTAAGCTATTTGAACACAAGGCTTGTTTTATTTACTGTTGCAACTATTCCATATACCACGTGACACAGTGTTGGAGAAACAAACTGTTGAGCAGGTTCTCTTGGCACCCTAGTATTTCTAGACGGTACCTGAGGGGAGCATGAGGGGGAAAAGGGGTGGTGAAGATGGGCAGGGGAGAAAGATGGAAGGACAGGCCTAGGAGACTCCACTCCCTTTAGCCCTGGCAGGTCCCTTTTATCTATATTATATATTAAGTGTTACAGGCTGAATTGTGCCCCCTTCCACCCCACCCCACAAGTCATATGTTGAAGTCCTAACCTCCAGTACCTCATAATGTGGATGTATTTGGAAATAGGGATTTTAAAGAGATAGTTAAGTTAAAATGAGGTCATAAGTATAAGGGTCAGCCCTAATCTAATATGACTGATGTCCTTACAAGATCAGGAGATTTGGATACAGACATGTACAGAGGGAAAAACACGTGAAGACACCAGGAGAAGCTGGCTCCCATGGTCTGAAGGTTCTCCCAAATTCATGTGTTGAAATTTAGTGGACAGTAATAATATTAAGAGGTGATTAAGTCACGAAGGCAGAGCCCTCACCAATGGGATTAGCGACCTTATAAAAGGGCTGGAGGGAACTAGCCAGGCCCCTTTTGCCCTTCTGCCTTCTGCCTGTGAGGACACTTAGAGGGTGCCATCTGTGAGGAGTGGGCCCTCACCAGATATTGAATCTGTTGTTGCCCTGGTCTTGGACTTCCCACCTCCACAACTGTGAGCAATGAATTTATGTTCTTTATAAATTACCCAGTCTGAGGTATTTTGTTCAAGTAGCTTAAACAGACTAAGAAAGTGGCCATCTATAAGCCAATGAGAGGGGCCTCAGGAGAAACCAACCTTGCTGACACCTTGATCTCAACTTCTAGACTCCAGAGTTGTGAGAAAATATATTTCTGTTGTTTAAGCCACCACGTTGTCTGTAGCATTTTGTTATGGAAGCCCTAATAAACTAATACTTTAAGGTTCTGAGGAGAGTTTAAGGGGGAAATAAAAAGAGTTCACGTGCTTAAGAGAGTTATAAAACTGCAGTCCTATGGCTTAAGATTATTATGCCTGAGAGTCAGATAAGTGCTTCTCTTCTCATTAAATCACATAAACCATTAGTAAGTAAAGGGTCATCTGTTTGAGGTGACCAATTCTACAGCTTCATTGGACAAATAGATCAAGACATCTTCTAAATTTTGTTATTTTCCAGCTCAAAAATATCAAGAATCAATTTAAACAAAGATTGCATCTTGCAGCATAATTACCGTTGTTCTTGAAAAAAGTATTGAACAGTTTCTAAACTGCATGTGGTACAAACCTGTTGTATGGATACTTAGTTCCCCAATTTTTTACACTGAATATTTCAAAGTTTGAGGATCTTCTAAGGTTTGCGAAGGAAAAATGGGAATACTTTCATAAAAGCATGAATAGAAGCAACATATGTAATTTTTAAGCATAATTTGAAACCCCTGGGGAAGGGGCCGGCCCGGTGGCGCACTGCTACAGTGCACCGCTTGGGAGTGCGGCGGCGCTCCCGCCGAGGGTTTGGATCCCACATACAGACCGGCCGCTCACTGGCTGAGCGAGGTGCGGACGCAACACCAAGGGTTGCGGGCGCAACACCGAGGGTTGCGATCCCGTTGCTGGTCCCGGTCCAGTAGGGGTGCGACACTGAGGGTTGCAATCCGTTGCCGATCACAAAAAAAAAAAAAAAGACAAAAAAAAAAAAAAAGGAAACCCTTGGGGAAGAATTTTTTATCTGTTAATATCCCTATTTGTTTTAAAAAATGATCTTGGCTTCTCTGGACTTGGGCAAATTGTGAACATTGAAAAGACACATGTGCAGAGGACGTTGAACAAGGAGTCAAGGTACATGATTCACCAGCTTTAAGATTTAATGTCTGCCCTGCTGGGTTTTGGACTTGTTTGGGACCTGTTACACCTTTCATTTGGCCTATTTCTCCCTTTTTGAATGGGAATATGTACCCTGTGCTTGTCCCACCATTGTATCTTGGAAGTAGATAACTTTGATTTCATAGATAGGACTTTGGACTTTGGACCTTCGAGTTAAAACAAGACTTTGGGAATGAAATGAATGTATTTGTATGTGAAAGGGACATGAGTTTTGGGGGGCCAGGGGTAGAATATTATAGATTGAATGATGTCCCCACAAAAGTTTAATGTTTTGGCAGATTGGTCCCCACTCAGACAGTGTTAAGAGGATGTGAAGTCCTATGGGCCCTTGAAGAAGTGATTAGATTGTAGGACCATACCATAGGGAATGGATTAATAATTGTGGTCAGGGGTGTGGTTTGGAGGGCTTTAAAAGGAGAACACATGAAGAGTCTCTCTCTCTGCTCTGCTATTTTGCAATGTGATACCCTTCATCACTGAAGTCACCACCAAAGAAAGCTCTCACCAGATGTGTTCCCTGGGCTTTAGACTTCCCAGTCTCTGAGACTTGTAAGCAATAAATTTCATCTTCTTACAAAGTACCCATATTTTATATTTTCTTTTCTCTTTTTTAAAAAAAATTTTTTTTTTTTGTCCTTTTTGAGACCGGCCTCACCGTGCTCAGCCAGTGAGCGCTGTGAGTGCACCGGTCATCCGTATATAGGATCTGAACCCGCGGCGGGAGCGCTGCTGCGCTCCCAGCGCTGCACTCTCCCGAGTGCGCCACGGGCTTGGCCCCATATTTTATATTTTCAAATTTGATTTTGAATGGAATTGAAACATGAAACAGTTATTACTAACTTTAAAAAAGTTAAGAAACAGGATAAGACTGTATGTTTACTGTCTTTCATAATAATCATTGTATGCCATTCTTTAAGAACCTAAGTGGTTGAAGCATTTCAAAAATAATCAGACAATTGTCTAATTAGGGAATGGAGAAAACACTATTGTTTTACTTACAGTCTAGGAAAATAATGCTTCACATGAAAGTGTAACTTATTCTTAATGAGCTGTTGTGTCAGTATGTGGCAAGTTTTTTTAAATGAAAACAATTATGTGTAAATGTAAATATAGACTCTCTGTCATTGACCATATCCTGGTGGTGGAATATGCAAGCTGCTTCTCTCCCAGGATCATCCTCCTGTGATGCAAGCCTACTGATAGCAACCACCACCAAAATGCATATTCGATTACCTCCTTGAGACTTAGAATCCTGGCATGCTCTTCCAGTAGAAAGAAAGGTCATTGGTTAGATTGGTTTTGAGCCCAATATTGTTTATTTACTTAAATATTGAAGCCCATATGACCTATCAACTTGAAACCTAGAGTTAGGCAATGACAGAAGTCAACCACTATGCAAGGACAATAAAGTGGTTCATCTTTTTGTATGTACTGGGAGCTGGAAGTTATGCAGGAATAGTTCTAAATTGTCACCCCATCCCAGCCTTGCACTTACTGCCACAGATCACGTTAGGTTTGCATAGTCTATACTCCTTGGGAGTGAGACTGACTGCAGTATCAGGACAAAGTGCTGTAATTCATCCTCCATAAAGATGCTTAAGCAAAATTTCGATTCAGCACAAGCATGCAATTCACCAGTGTGAGTTCTAAATCAGCATCTCATTATGTTTTCTAGTGTCATGCAATGTTCTTGAAATAATAGATTTCCCAACTTTTTAAAAGTTTGGTTTTACACATTTGCTTGTAAGTTGGTTTAGAATTCAGAGCATAATTTTTCCTATAGAAACATGGTTACGAATATGTCAGTAAAAGCCAGTGCTTCTTAGAGCTAATATTGCCAAAATATTGCAAGCTTCAACTGTATTTTTCACTAGTAACAAAACCAGAATAAAATAACATGCAATTAGAATTACTTTCATTACTTTTATATTTATCTTTGTCACTAGTGTTTAAGGAAAAGAACATTTAATTAAAAAATGATGGGGCCGACCCCGTGGCTCACTGGCGAGAGTGCGGCGCTGGGAGTGCAGCGGCACTGGGAGCGCTGAGGCCATGGGTTTGGATCCTATATAGGGATGGCCGGTGCGCTCACTGGCTGAGCGTGGTGCGGGCGACACCAAGCCAAAGGTTATGATCCCCTTACAGGTCACACAAAAAAAAAAAGCTTCATTTTTTTCTAGGACATTTTACAGGCATAACTAAACTGCAGCCAGATTGGTTTCTCTCTTGAATTCTGCTTAAATGAAAAGGTATTTTTGTGAACTGATGGAGATTTTTATTATAATAGGTTCGAGAGCACCATCGAAAATTGAGGAAGGAGGCTAAAAAACGGGGTAACAAGAAGCCTAGGAAAGACCCAGGAGTTCCAAACAGTGCTCCCTTTAAGGAGGCTCTTCTTCGGGAAGCGGAGCTGAGGAAACAGCGGGTAAGTTAGGTTAGCTGAAACTTCTAATGAATGGTGTAATGTGGGTATGTGTGTTTTTTCCAAAGTAAGGTAACACCACTAGTCACTGGCTCACCCATTTCTCTTGGACACAGCTTGAAGAACTAAAACAGCAGCAGAAACTTGAGAGGCAGAAGGAGCAAGAAAAGAAAAGAAAACTTGAAACTAACCCTGGTGTTAAGCCATCTAATGTGGGTCCTGTGGAGGAGGTATGATTAGGTCTCTTTGTAAATGAAAAATGAGTTCTGATGCAGAAGTAAAAGCATATACATAGGGTAGGGGCTGCTGAGCCTTCTGGGAGGGAAAAAACTGAGTTCAGACTTCGTCTTAACGGAAAATGAAGATACAGGTTACAAGTGCTATACTTCTAATTTTGTATATTTTCCCCTTTATTCTCTAGGAATTTGCGCAACACAACTCTAAGAAGAAAACCAAGTCGGGCAAACAGAATATAAAGAAGTTATATTGTCAGGAACTTAAAAAGGTATCTGAGTCTAGATCAGTGTCTAAAAATGGTAATGAGGTTTAAAAGACTAGAGTCATTCCTAGACCTGACACCAGCTTTGCAAAGGTGGAAGTGAAGTTCACTTGAGCTGGAAGAATCCTTTAACAAGTTGGTTTATCCTGTTTAAGGCCTTTCCCAGTATGTTTAACTGACAAAAATATTTTCTTTGAGTTTAAATTTTTGTGTGGGATCGGTTGTTCCCCATAAACATGATTTATGAAAGCGACAATTTGTGTTAAAATAACATGTTTACATGGTTGTTTTTAAGACTGAGTTAAGTACATTAGAATAAGAGTGAAAATACACTGTTGAAACCTAAACGAAGGAGCTCATGAGGGTGGTGGTGTCTTGATATAGTTGTTCACCAGCATTCCCATCTGCAACACCCATTTTCCCAAGTTCACTTCCCCCTGAGGCTAGAACTTGATTGTGCCTTTCAGGAGCTCTTGGCAGGGCCAAACTACATAATTCGCTATGGGAGGACTGTACTCATATTTAGAGTTGGAGGTATTACTACTCTTTTATTTTTTCTGTGAGAAACAATGAGCATATCAACATTCTCCATTCCAAAGCAAAGATACGAGATGCAATTCTGAGCTCACCTTGTTACCAAGTGGATAATGCCAGTACACTCATGTTGAGGGTGTTCCAGAGCAAGGGGTGTTATTCTGATCATTTCTTCCTTGACAGGTGATTGAAGCCTCAGATGTTGTACTAGAGGTGTTGGATGCTAGAGATCCCCTTGGTTGCAGGTGTCCTCAGGTAGAAGCCATTGTTCAGAGTGGACAGAAAAAGCTGGTACTTGTATTAAATAAGTCAGGTGAGCAAAAGGGATGCCCTTTGCCTTCCATGTGCACTGGTGAGGTATGAGGAAAACATCTGAGCAGTCTGATTGTCACTGAAGACTGATAAGATCCAACTCTGACCTCAACAAAGCCAGAGCATGTACACTGTGGTTGCCAAAGACAGTTCTGGGCAATGGGTAGGAGGTGATTTCTACAAGTTATTCAACTGGTTTCTGCTGTTCTTTTGCCATTCAGTACGTACTACCTTGACTTACTTAAGGGTATAAGCTTCTTTACCTAGCTTACTGTGCAGTATATCTCACATAGCAAGTGATGACAGTGTGCCAAATTCCCCACACCTGCACAGCGTCAAGTACTAATTCAGGAGCAAGATAAATTGGAATGTGACAAAATATTTAATGAAATGTGTAATTATGTACGTGGGTTTGAGCAGCAGGAACAGGAAGACCCAGAACAGTCTTGTGAAGCAGAAAGTAGGAACGGGGTTTTAAATTATCTGTCGGGATTAGAAAACAAGTAGTTGCAGCTGAGGGTAAATTCTGGAAACTTAGCTCCAGTGTTAGGGTTATAATCCAGAGGTTGACTTTGTTCTGAAAGGGTGAACAATACAGGGGGAATTGAAATACAGATGTGTAGATGCTGAGCTCCGTTAGGATAAGGGCAGCATGATAGGGAGCTTAAGCTTTCCTCATTTTCCTTTTGAAAAGGCTGGGGGAAGGCAAACCAGAATAAAATCTATAGTTTACCAGATTTTGTAAATTAATCTCGACAAAATAGCCAAATTGGAGCATGTCTCCTGTGCCTAATTCCTAGCAGATCTGGTACCAAAGGAGAATTTGGAGAGCTGGCTAAATTATTTGAAGAAAGAATTGCCAACAGTGGTGTTCAGAGCCTCAACAAACCTGAAGGACAAAGGGAAGATAAGCAAGGTACCTTTTTCTGTTAGTGGTGAGAAGTGTGGTTCTTTCAGATTTTGAATGGTTGAAATATGATGAGTGTATAAAATCTTGATTTAAAAATGAAAAATTACAAGATCCAATGCTGATTTCATCCAGAGGTCATCTGAAAGACAATAGAGTGTAGTGATTTTAACAGCAGGGCCCAGTGGCCAGTTGCCTGGGTTTTATCCAAGTTGTCAAAAATTAATTATTTGGTATTTTAACATGTGAAGGTAAAGAAGAAAGCTGCTCCATTCAAAAATGAAGTCTGCTTTGGGAAAGAGAGCCTTTGGAAACTTCTTGGAGGTCTTCAGGAGACTTATGGCAAAGCTATTCGGGTTGGAGTAATTGGTGAGTTTCAGTTCTTCAGTGTCAAGATACTTAGCCAAGAATTTTTCCATGTTAAGTAAAAAAGTTGTCATCAAATAATGGGCTTGCTCAAACATTAGCTTCTTGGCCCACCTCACCAAAAACACGCAAAATTTAAAAAAAATTCCTGTCAGGTTTTCTTTGTTGGGAATGGGCACTGTAGGAAGTTGGCTTCTAAAAGCTTTTGGTTCTATTTGAATTAAATCTTTCCCTGCCCTTTCATTACAAAAAAAATTCCTGTCAGGTTTTCTTTGTTGGGAATGGGCACTGTAAGTTGGCTTCTAAAAGCTTTTGGTTCTATTTGAATTAAATCTTTCCCTGCCCTTTCATTACTTGAGCAAGAAATGATGAAGCTAAGATTGGTCTTAGTGTTGAAGTGAGGACTCTCAGATCCAACTCTGATCTTGCTCTAAACATCAGGCAAACATAAAATTAGGTGGTAGAAATTTTATAACTACCAGCATATATAATGTCTTTTGTATCTGTGGATTTCCCCATAATTTGTAGGTTTCCCAAATGTGGGGAAAAGCAGCATCATCAATAGCTTAAAACAAGAACGGATATGTAATGTCGGTGTATCCATGGGGCTTACAAGGTAAAATATTCAATTTGTTATAGATGAGTAAATATTTTATTTTGGTTATCTTGAGTAAGGCAATTTTCCATTCTTTGTTTTGTTTTTTTTTTTGAAGATGACCAGTAAGGGGATCTTAACCCATGACTTGGTGTTATCAGCACCACGCTCAGCCAGTGAGCAACTGGCCATCCCTATATAGGATCTGTGGCCTTGGTGTTATCAGCACCACACTCTCCCAAGTGAGCCCGGCCATCCCTATATAGGATCTGTGGCCTTGGTGTTATCAGCACCACACTCTCCCAAGTGAGCCACGGGCCGGCCCCTTCCATTCTTTCTTTAAAGCTGTCAGTGAAAGGATGAGGGTTAGACCAGTGCTAGGCTTGGGGAAGAGTTGATTAGAGTAGGACAGATGCCCACAATTTGATTTGAAAATTAAACAAATGGATTCAGAGAGAGGAAAGCTGCCCGAGAGATAGAAGTGAATAGAAGTTTGCCAAGTAGAAGGGATAATGTTTATAGCAGAGGAAACAGTATACATTTAGGTTGATATGTAAGCTATAATGCTGTGTTTCTGTTTAGAAGGGGTGGGTATGCTATTAGGGTTTTAGATAAACATGAAGCAAATGATGATAAATTGGATCTGACTGGCTGTGCTGAGTTTGTTCAATCCAACCCTGAGCTTCGTGGTCTGTCTCTTGCCCTCCAGATAAACCACTGCCCCCATCAATTCCATCTACCTTCTTTCAGGAGCATGCAGGTTGTTCCCTTGGACAAACAGATCACAATCATAGATAGTCCTGGCTTCATCGTGTCTCCACTTAACTCTTCCACTGCACTTGCTCTACGAAGTCCGGCAAGTATTGAAGTAGTAAAACCAGTGGAGGCTGCGAGTGCCATCTTGTCCCAGGCTGATGCTAGACAGGTAAAAGAACCCCTTCCCTTGAGCTCTTCACTGCCATTTTCTCTTTCATCATAAGCATTTAATAGAAAATTTGGGGGGGGGGGTTGTTTGTTTTAAACATCTGCATTATATCAGATCAATGACAGTTCTTATTCTGCCTTTTTAAAGATAGTACTGAAGTATACTGTCCCAGATTATAAGAATTCCCTGGAATTTTTTACTATGCTCGCTCAGAGAAGAGGTCTGCACCAAAAAGGTGGAAGCCCAAATGTTGAAGGTGCTGCCAAACTGTTGTGGTCTGAGTGGACAGGGTAAGGCTTCTTTCTGTTGGCATTTTGGCGACCACACAGAATAAAGGAACTGATTTTTGACAAATCTTATTTTTAATACCAGTGCCTCCTTAGGTTACTATTGCCATCCTCCTACATCCTGGACTCCTTCTCCACATTTTAATGAGAGCATTGTGGCAGACATGAAAGGGGGCTTCAATCTGGAAGAACTGGAAAAGAATAATGCACACTGCATGCAAGGTGAGTGAGATTTTTGTTCCACTGCTGTATTCATTGGCAGACAGGCCAGTAAAGGTCGTTCCTGTTTACATGGGCTTCATGCTTTTCCTAGCCATCAGGGGCCCTCGTTTAGCCAACAGCATCCTTTTCCACTCTTCGGGCCTGACAAACGGAATCATAGAGGAAAAGGACATACCTGAAGAATTGCCAAAACAGAAAGAGAGGAAGCAGCTGGAGGATGATGAAGTTGTGGACAGTGACCAGGAAAGTATTGACGGGGAAAACGTTGATGTAAGTATGTTGTTTAAAGCTAAAGTGAGTTTTCTAACATTATAATGTATAACAAATGGGTAAGGGCTAAAGATAGAAATTAAATATCTTGTAATCAACTGGAAAAACCCCATACAATTTAGGTATTTGAGGCTTGTGATCATTACCCTTAATTTTATACATACCATTATGTGTACCTTCTAATACTTAATTTTTTCCTGGTACTAAATTACTTGGAATAATGAACGGACAAGAGCTACTAATCTAACACCATTTTTTTGTCCCATAGGAAAAGAGCTCAGACATGTCCCCTGCAGAAGAGACATGGGAGGCACTGCCTGAGGAGTCTACAGCAGGTAAGTCTGGGACAAAGGCATTCTTTAGATACTAATTCTTTAGACACTAATGCCTTATTAGCTTAGGCCACTGGTTAATTATTTCTACAAAACCCAAGAAAACAGCATGGTGTAGAATCACTTTTACTTTTTTTTTTTTTAAAAATAATACCTCACCTTATTTTCCTCCACTATAGGTGAACAGTCTGTAGGCTCTTTTACCTTACTTTTTTTTTTTTTTTTAAATAATACCTCACCTTATTTTCCTCCACTATAGGTGAACAGTCTGTAGGCTCTTTTACCTTGGATAAAACAACTGAAGAGGATGATGCTTATGATTTCAGTACAGATTACGTATAACAGAATCTTGTCCTTTTATAAGGAGTTTTCTTCACATTTTAAACAGACTTTATAATGTGCCAGTATGACATGAGCTGTGTAAATTTTGTGGATATGTATCTCAATATATTCATTAAAACAATCAGACAATTCAGAAAGTCTCCAAGTTCTGTTAAAAGACTCAGCCCATCTCTTATTATACAGTGAGTGGGTATAAGTAGTTATCTGGAAGCAAAAAATCAGATGCCTACTAAAAAATGTAGGTTTTATTTACAGATCAGGCCACGAGTCATAAAATAACCAGACAGCAGTTTGAAACTACCTGTACCAGCTGGCTGAGCTAACTATATCAGCTTTCTCAGTCCATTCTTCAATTGTTCAGCATTACAGTAAGAAAACACTTGGTTGGTAAGGTAGATGGAAACATATTTATAGTCTATTTGGGAAGCTGACTGCCAGACGGAGCATTTATCTTTTTTCCATGGTTGCTACAGATGGGCATTAAAGCCTAGCTGCTGTTACTTCCCACACATACGTCTTCCACGACTTCCTGAGAAATGCTTATAGTTTAAATTCTATTCTACTTTATGTTTGAAATTTCCATATGTCTTCGAATTAGGCTGAATTTGCCTGTTGGATCTGGAATGTACCATTTTTCCCAAACATCAGTATATGAAGCAGTTCTTCCCCATGGCTTAAAGTGTCCATTCCAATGAAGTAACTTGGCAGCCTTTACAAACTGGGGTGAATATCGTTTTCCAGCACTGGAACCTTATATTGAGAGAAAAAGAGCCAAAAATGATTGTACCACTCACACATAATGTCATGCTGAATTGTGCAGAAAACTTAAGGGAAAGAGTTGATAGTGTACATCCTATCCCTGAGGACAGTTTTTAGAAACTAATCTCATTAGCTTAACTCATTGGTTAATTACTTCCACTTACCAAGGTGGCGGACATTCCACAGAGGGTCAATGGTGGAGTGCTGTTGATAAAATACAATAAGCAGAGGAGGTGTCGTGATGCTGCCAGCCAGTGTTCTGCTGTATAGTCCCTCTCTTGGTGAGACAGATAACAAATGTTAATGAAGAATAGACACTAACTTCCTGTCACAACTCCCTAAGTTGAAATACAAGCGTTTTCATGGCTGGGCACGTTACATACTTACTCTACATTGAGTTTCATCCATTTTTCCAGCTGGTTGGTTATATTCTGTTGCTTCCATTCTGTCAGGTTTGCAACAAAAACGCCAGGATTAAACGAGCAGGTGCTGGCTTTCATGGAAAGCTTACGAATTCTTTCCTTTTTATAGTCAAGATAGCCAATGTAATTGTACTAAAAAATACAAATAGAATATATGTTTACTGCTCCAAACAGATGGAATTTTATAGCCAGTAAAAAAGCTGCTCGTTAAACTGACTTCTCAGATTATTAGCGTATAAAAGTGACGTTTGAATTTCCAAGTTAGACAGTATAGAGACCATGATTTTGATATATTAAACTGGATGTTCATAGAGAATTAAGTTGTCAAGTCCATGAACAAATCTACAGAAAAGCAGGCTTGAGTTTTGTGATAAAATAATTGGGGAATGTAAGATGCAGCAAAAACAGTAAGAGTGCCCTGAATTTGCCACCTCATAGGGAGTGGGATGTCTAGTAAGTAATTTACCTGGTTCCCTGCTCCACGGATGACTACTTTAGTAGAGGCTGAATCACAATCTTCTGAAAATGCAGCTGCATGTCCTGGCTTCAGTGGGGTATTGTAAAGGGCAAGAATATCACCTGAAATAGATAAATTATTAAGATTTACATTTCTAGTTGCCTTGAGACTTCCTGTTCTCCCGCTTTTCCATAAGGTGACCTTTCATAGCAGACCATAAATAAGACAACCACTATAGCCTGCAATCTGGACAGAGAACAGCACTTGTGACATTCTTTGGTACCTTGCACAATTACATCATCATCCATATATATGACCTTCTTAGCGCTGGGAACCAGAATTGGCAAGTAGAACCTCGCAAAGGTCAACTGGAAAAGGAAAGAAGTATTGGCATAGGATACATAGAAACTCCTAGAATGCTCTCGGTACCCAAACAGGGGAAAACAGTCAGGGGACTCTTAGAACTGCCCAGGCTTGTTCCCCAGGGAACTACCTGCATTGTGCCCACAGCTTTCCAGGTATTCCAATCATTTCCTAATACTCCTAAGTACAAACAAGGACGCATGGAACTCACTGGTTTCATGGATTCCCCCTGGTCAGGATCCTCCTTTACTTTCCCTTCCAAAAGTTTAGTGTCAAAATTCACAATTTTATACCTGATGCTTTTCAGGGAACCACTGTTGAGCCAAGACCTGATGAAGATAAAGCACCAGATTTCACTTTTAAATAATCATGTCTCAAAACCATAGCCTTATCTTTGTGCCTTCTTAAGAAGAGCATAATATAATGTAAGAGAATACTTAGTGACCAAATAGATGAACTTTGGTTTCCTCACCTGAAATGATACCAAGAATCTATGGCAATACTCTTCCAACACTAAAACTACGGTAAAAAACTCTATTGAATTCAGAACATCTTATCACCATACAACTCAACCCTCCAAATACCCTGGTAAGAAAAATAAGTCAAAGTATGATAGTAGTGAAAGCTAATTATCATCAAAGCTAGTAATCAGTCTGTTATCTATAGACTAATTTATTTTATTTTATTTTATTATTATTATTATTATTTTTTTGTCTTTTGTCTTTTTTCCGTGTCCGGCAACGGATCGNATTTTTATTTTTTTATTTTTTTTTTGTCTTTTGTCTTTTTTCCGTGTCCGGCAACCGATCGCAACCCTCAGTGTTGCCCCCGTACCGGACCGGGGACCGGCAACAGGACTGCAAGCCTTGGTGTTGCTCCCGCGCCTCGCTCAGCCAGTGAGCGGGAGCCGGTCTGTATGTGGGATCCGAACCCTCGGACGGGAGCGCCGCCGCGCTTCCCAAGCGGCGCACCATCCAGTGCGCCACCGGGCCGGCCCTATAGACTAATTTATTAATTTAGTGATAACCCTAAGTAATTCCTCCACCTGAGTCTGTGGAAATGCCTGTAAGAAAAGCCAGTGTTTCATAAGTACTGCACGTTTTATTTAGGTCCACTTCATATCAGCATTCTGTGGACACTCAATGGTATTTCTTTAGTCTGTTTTAATGTAGTATTTGTTTCTATATTTTAGGAGGGTTCTGAAGGGTTTTTTGCTGGCTGGTACAGGGATCAAACCCTGGACCTTGGTATTATCAGCACCACACTCTAACCAACTGGGCTAACTGGCCAGCTGGGTTCTAAGTTTTTCATATCTCAGAAAATCATATAACTTCCACAAACTAAATATGACCCATGGAGAAAATCACAAGGATGGAAATATTTTAGTACTTTGACAACTGTTAATCTGTTAGACAAGCTGTTTCTTGGAGTAAACTTTGAAAGTCTCAATTCATTTCTAAAACATGGATGAGACTGTCCATCTGATTGGGTTTCTATTAATAGTTATAACAATTAAAATAGCAAGAACTATTTACTGAGTGATTACTAAGTGCTAGGTGTTTTATATATTTTTTGTCATTTACTTGACACAATAATCCTGTAAGGTGGATATTTTCGCCCCGTAATTATAGATGAGGAAATGGACTCCAAGGTTCCCCAAGTTCCTCTGGGCCAGGATCTGGATCAGGATCTGTGCTCACAACTTCACCATACTGTTGCCATTGCTCCCAAGTCCCTTTCCACTCTAGATCAGAACTGCTTAGAGCATAGAGCATATCCATGACATAAGGAATTTGTGACTTATAAATCAACATATTACTTCCTTCACTGAGGAAGTCCTATTATCAAAACAATTATCAGGTGAAGTTAACAGTGTACATATTGACACAGTTGATTTACTTCTTGGCATAAGCTCCTTATTTCTGCTATAATGGGGACATCCTTATGACATAATCACATGGAAAAACATACCATATATGTCTTAACATGTGGTATAATCTCAATTGTATTAAAATATATAAATATAGAAAATCAGTTCCTGAATTGGCAGCTGGCCAGCTCTACAACATCCTCTAGAAGCAAAATCATCAGTTAAGCAGAGCTCACCGGAGATGGTCTACTGTATTGTTGAGCGTAACAAGGTAGAAAATCACACTGGAGCGTGTGTTGTGCTGAATGCTGTTAATGGCTGCAATGGCCCCCCCGAGCCTGTCTTCAGATGCAGCAATGACCACAGGAATGTCCTCTTGCCTCCTGTCTACTGCATGTTGGGGAGCATTTGGGGCAAAGCCCATGGGCTGAAGGCCCACAATTCCTGAATCTGAAAAGAACACACATAGGAAGGCACTGTGATACAAACACAGTCTCATGAGATTTTGATATAGAGTCCAAGACATGGAAAAGGTAAGGTGAGGATTATGGTACTGATTTACCTCATTCTCCCCCATTAAGCTGTGAAACATACAACCCAGAAATTGTGTTTTCCTGTATGTAACCAAGCTTTTGGAAAAGTGGAAGAAGCATTTTAAAGAATAGGCTGACAGCACTCTGATACACTGCTAGTAGGAAAATAATGGAAACTTCCACAATGTATTGTGGCTATTTCTTTCCTTTTTTTTTGGTGGCTGGCCAGTATGGGAATCTGAGCCCTTGGTGTTATAACACTGCACTCTAACCAACTGAGCTAATCAGCCAGCCTCTATTGTGGCAATCTCTATCAATATCCTTAAAAAGGTACATAGCCTTTGACCCCATCATTCCCCTTGCCACCTCTCTTGAGGAAAAAATCAAAAGTCACAATTTTATTTATTATTGTGAAAAGCTAGAAACAAAGTAAATCAGTGTTTTTCAAATCACAAATCCTAAGTAGGCATGAAATCAATTTAGTAGATCATCAGAATTTGAATGGAAAAAGTTTCCAAATTGGAATAGAAAATTAAATTCAAATAGAAAAGTAGAGTGCATTGCACACAGCAACTGCAAGTATTGTTCTGTACACCTTCTTGCCTTTTATAATACATTCATTCATTTACCATTCATTACTCATTGAACACTGAGCGCCTATTATGTGCAAGGCAATATCTAGGCACTGGGCTTACAGCTATAAGAAAACAAATCCCTACCATCATAGATGTAAAATAAGCAAATACACATGTATATGTGTGTGCTGCATATTATGCATTTGTTATTATGAGGTCGCCATCAAAAAGTCATTGTACCAAAAGATGTTTTCCTGTGAAAACAAGTAAACTGTAAAAGTGATCTCTAGGCAACGAAATCATTCATTCAACTAATTTATTGAACACCTGTGTATCAGCCATCATCCATAGCATGGGAGATAAAGCAGTGAACAAATTGCCCTCATGGAGCTTGAATGCTATTTTCTTTTTTATAAATTTTCCTACCAGAAGAATGCATTACTTTATATACATAATACATTATACACACACACAAAGGGTACTTCAAAAAGTTCACAGAAAGACTTGTATTATCTTTTAATTCTATTTTTTCATGAACTTTCGAAGTACTCTCTTTGTATATACATATATTGTTATAAAACATGCTATCAGAACACTCAGGGAAAGTTAGGGCAAAACTATAAGCCTTTTCTTGCTCTGGCCAACTATAGTGGGTGGCAATCCAAATATGACTTTTGACAAACACTCTGAAGCCTCAAACATCCCTCAATACCAAGGCAAAGGGGAATAAAGAACTAATTTAAAATAACTTGCAATATAATTATACAATCAAGTGATTTCAAATCAGTTAACAAGTCTTTATGATTTTATTACTAGAGTCCCAATAATGCAGTTGCACAAGTTAAAGAAAAGTAACAGGTGAAGGAAAATAACCAGACTGGGCACGCTAGTGACCAGGGCAGGCATCAAACACCAGGGACCCTTGCCCGCCCCCACCTTCTGAAGCCCTGCCCTGCTGAAATGTGAGCAGATGGCAACCCAGAGAAGCTCCTCTAAGGTCTCTGATTTGGTGAAAAAGAATATTACGTCAGATCAAACCCTTAAGAAACTACTGCACTACAGGGAGAAGCAAAGCCCTAATATCTGCCTGCTTTGAGCCAATTTCCACCAAGACTGAAGAAAAACAATCTCACTTGAATAAATCCCAGTTGGTTAATGGTAGGAAGGACAATGTTCTAGCTTTTCAACTTCTAGTAAGTTACTTACAGGGTAATATGTGGATCTAGAGTCACATGTATTTGTGCTATTCCAGTTAGCTGGTCACAATAAAAACACAATTCTAGCAAGCATTTGATGTACTTAAGTAGATTAACATGGCAGAAAACAGTTGCTCCTAAAATTCTTCCACAGTTACCTACTTGCAAAATGCCAGTTATTATGGAGTATGTCTGACCCATATTTCCTTTCCTGGTACCATTCCTGGTAATGGAGCTTCCCTGATCTGGTCAGAAGGAATTCTCAAAACAAAATTGCATGTATACCCTAATACTTTTGTAATAATACACAATTGTGTACAATTTGATCAGCAATATTCAGTTGCCCAGTACAAAAATTAATATTTCTTTAGAAATTATAAACGTTTGGGCCGGCCTGGTGGCGCACTCGGTAGAGTGCGGCGGCGCTCACGCCGAGGGTTTGGATCCCATATAGAGACCGGTCCGCTCACTGGTTGAGCGTGGTGCGGGTGCGACACCGAGGGTTGTGATCCCGTTGCCGGTCGCAGTACGGGCGCAACACTGAGGGTTACGATCCCATTACCGGTCACGAAAAAAGACAAAAAGGAAAAAAAATAAAAAAAGAAATTATAAACGTTCACTTTCCCAAATCACTCACAAAAATGAAACAAAAAACCACACACGCACGCACACACAAACGCACCCAGGGCAGGCATACCCAGAAAAATGAAAGAAATCTTAGGGGAAAAGAACACTTTTTTTTTTTTTTTTTAAACTTGCTAGCTACTTGCATTTATATCCACATTCTCAGCACCTATGCCCACCTTTCTGTTTTCCTTCCTATTTTATGGACCAAGTACTTGCATAAAAAGCCATTTAAACTTGCTAGCTACTTGCATTTATATCCACATTCTCAGCACGTATGCCCACCTTTCTGTTTTCCTTCCTATTTTATGGACCAAGTACTTGCATAAAAAGCCATTCCACTGCTGCTCTGTGTCCTATAACTGTTTCTTTGGTGTAGAATCATTAACCTCTTTAACTCTCTGCTGTATCACACCCATCAAGCTCAGGTATCTTTCAGTTAATTTAAAAAAAAAGAAAAAAGACACCACTCTTCCCACTCCACCCATTAACCCACAGACCCATTTCTCTGCTCCTCCTCACTCTAAAAGCTTGAAAGGATTTCAAGTCTCTAGCTCCACTTCCTCTCCTCTCATCCTCTTTAGCCTTCTCCAACCAGACTTCTGTTCCTACATTCAAACTGCTCTTGTAGAGGTCACCAGAGATCAAGGTCATCTATCTGTCCTTCCCTTACTCATACCCTCAAAGGCCATCAGAAAGTTTACCACTACCCCTCCTCAGTTATAAAATTATCTCATTTACTTGTTTATGTCTTCCCTGACTAGAATGTAAGCTCTATGAAAACAGGGACCACCCAACAAAAACGTTTACTAATGTATCCCTGCCCCTTAAAACCATGTCTGGCAAACAGTAGTAGACACGTGACATTTGTTGAATGATCTTGCTAATCGAGCAGCAAGGTTAGTTCTCAGCTCAGAAAGGTAATGCAATCTTTGGCAATAATCATGAAAGCAGGTTCCAATATAAGGAAAAACATGGATCCAATGGGGTGCTCTCTCAAATGGAAACTGACAGGCAATTTCTTTTTCCCCTATCTTTATAGCTCAAATTCCATAAAGTCTCCAGAGCAACTACTATGGTATAAAGTGCACTGAAGAGAGAGAACACAGAAGGATATGTCTATTTATACATACAGAAGAAAGTCTGTTCAAACACACCAAGAAATACATACATAGCATAGGAAAGAGACTGGTATACCTTCCCCATCTCTGTTTCTGCCCACTACATGGGCTGGCTCCTGAGGTCAGAAAAGTGTCAAAGTTGTCTGCATTTTACCGTTTGGCCTCTGCTACCTTGAAGGGTGGAAAGGCACTGAGGATACACTTCCACTTTTTCCTACCTCTTATCTGGCTGGCTCCTACGTGGTTTTCATAAGTCAAGCCCCCCGACCCCACCCCACCCCCCCAATGAGCGGCACCTCTCCTGGGCCTCCCCATCCAGGGGCTAATCCAGTGTCATATATTTCTGGGGTGATGTGGCTGTCTCCCTTGACACACTCTAGGTTCTAGGGAGCAACAGCCTGGTCTTGGCCACAGCCGTGTCCTCGGTCCACTGCCTGGCGCAAACAATGTGACGTGAATATTTGCTGGCTGCATGAATGAGGGCGGCAGCCACACCCCACCGTGCACTGGGAGCGTCTAGAATCCCACTGTCTGTGGCTAGCTGCATACATACCATAGAGGCCCAGGTTCCCCAGACGGTTTCTCTTTGAAACGTGGGCACCCCACCTAGCTCACGGTAACAGGGGAGGGTCTAAGCTTTTGAGACATACACCGGCCTTGAAAGAGGGACTGAGTGAACCCTTGGCTGGTCTCTACCGGGAGGGCCCAGCTTGGGACTGTGAGGCCAAGTGAAATCAGAATGCATGTCAGTGGGCCGAGGTCGGGCCCGGGATGGGGACTCTCTCCAAGCGGGTGCGAGGGACGGCCAAGGACCGGAGTCACCTTTCCAAGGGAATTCCCTTTCTCTCGAAGATGTGACTTGGGATGGTCCCCACTAAATTCTAGGGTAAATACGGCCCCTTACGCTTAGGCGTGATCTGGAGGTAGTGTGACGCTCCGGGGTTTCCTTCAGGCCGAGGGATGCTCCGACAAGTCGTTGCCCTGAGGCTTGCTGCGGCCACCCTTACCTGCAACCGAAGGAAGAGCCGCTGTCGCCGCCCGCGCCCCAGCCCGCCCCGCCAGCTCAGCGACCGCGCGGCAGGTCCTAGGGCCTAGCCCGCCGCCAGGCTGCCCTCGTATCCTGCACTCCGGGCCGAGCGCGCACGCCCGCCTGCCCACTAGCTCCGCGGCAACCGTACAGTCCCACAACCCCAAGCCGGCCCGCTGCTTCGACCGCGAGAGTGCCGCGCTGAGCAGGCGCCGCCGGGCAGCCCCACCGCCGGGGTCCTCGCCGAGGAAAGGCCGTAGCCATGGAGATACGGCGCGCACCGGCGGCCGTTAAGCCGCGGAGGCTCTGTCTAGTACAGTTTGAGCGGTCGGAGCCGCGGCTCCACGCACCCATCAACACTGACGACTAACCCTTCACGGGCGCGCAATGCCAAGGGCGGGTCGCTGCCGTCACCATCTCAGCCCTCGCGGGCTGCAGGCCGGACTACAACCAGCTGCGAAAGCGCACGTCGCTTAGCGTTGGCGCGGGGCGGAACCACCGGCTGTCGCGGCCTGTCCGCAACATCCGCTTCCGGGGCCTCAACCATCGAACGGCAGGCATTGGCAGGCCCGCCAGGCGACACACAGTTCCAGAGCACGGCCCTTACAGTCCCTGAGTCTCGGCCGCCCTCGGCCCGGAGCCCGCTGCCTGCGCTCTGCCGTCCGCCTCCTCGGCCAGTCATGCTGGAGCATCTGAGCTCGCTGCCCACGCAGATGGTGAGGGCGAGGCCGGGGATCTCCTCACGCCGCTCTTGAGCTTGGCAGCTTTGAAGCCCTTGTTTAAACACCGACCCGGTGCTGTGCGGTTCCCAGCCCGGCCCGTTACCTTCCACCCTTCTCCCCGAATTGCACCTCCTGGGTCCCTTTTCCTCTTCCCCCGCAAGGATTTCCTTGCTTCTGCTCCGCTGGGATGCTTCAGTTCCCCCGGGAAACTCAAAATCTGATACGTTGTCCAGGCCCTTGAAGGTTGCCATGTGCCAAAGCTGTGAGATCAGGGCAGGAACTGTACCTCTTCGGTGGTGGAATCAACTCCTTTTTTTTTTGCTCTTCTTCACCCCAGGATTACAAGGGCCAGAAGCTAGCTGAACAAATGTTTCAGGGAATTATTCTTTTTTCTGCAGTAAGTATTGGTTTTACATTTAATCTTTTTCTACCCCCCAGGTTACCTGTATTTAATATACTTTGTTTGTCTCTAGATAGTTGGATTTATCTACGGGTACGTGGCTGAACAGTTTGGATGGACTGTCTATATAGTTATGGCTGGATTTGCTTTTTCGTGTTTGGTAAGAAATTTGCGGGTGTTTGGGTGTTAGTGGCAATTTACATTTTCTGAGTTAGATTGGTTTGGTTGGACCTGGTAGTGAGAACCAGAGTCAACTCTTCCCCCATCCATGCTTCCCCTTGCTATCTTTATAGAATGTCAAATAGTGTCAGATGATGTGAGCCGCATAAAAAGATACAGTTTATTTTTTTTGGCAGCTATTCCAGGCAATAATCTTAAGGTCACTACTAGCAGGAATTTCTCATAGTGCTCACATTGCCTCCGTCACCTTTCTTTTAGGTCTTAAAGCCATATGTGTAAACAGTGAGGTGTGTTCCCATCATAAGTGTCTTGTCTGGGCAGTGGCACAGAACTTTCATAGGGATATTAAGTTTTCAGTTTTTTGTTTTATCTTTAGCACCGGAGTCATTTGGGATTTAACAGGTATTTAAACTTTTAATGGCTATAATGGATGCATTTTCTCTGTTCTGGTCCAGCTGACACTTCCTCCATGGCCCATCTATCGCCGACATCCCCTCAAGTGGTTACCTGTCCAAGACTCTGGCACAGAAGACAAGAAACCAGGGGACAGAAAAATTAAGAGGCATGCTAAAAATAATTGATTGGGTTTCCGTGATTCAGCACCTGCTTTTGTTTCCTGTGAGATTAGCTAAATTGCTTTCATACCCAGAACGTGAGCTAAAATCACCTATGCTCTTATGGCACAGCTGAGTATAGATGTAGTTCTCTTTGTATTTCATTTCTAATCTAGTTGGGTTTTGATTTATAAATAGTTTAGACCCTCTCTTCAAAATTTTGCTCTCAAATGGAAAACAGAAAACAAAAGTATGCAAAGTTTTTTGCAGGAATACAGAAGAAAAATGCCTCTTAAGTGATAGTACAATTCATCTACCAAAGTTTTATAATTGTTATGAGTTATTAAACCATTTTAATGTTTCCAATTAAAAATGATAGTGCAAGTCTGTGCCTAACGATCTTTTGTTCATTGTTCTGAAAGCAAGACTATTAGTAAAAGCCAAAGTTAGAAGTTTGTGGTTCTGAAAGTATATACACCATTTCTGTTTCCTATAGCGGCAAGTTGCTAGTATGTTAACAATAGCGGGCACATATGATAAACTTTACTAATGTAAATTTGCAGTAAAGTAGTATTTTGGTACCACTGAAATAAGGCTATTGTTAAGCAGAAACATGTAATCCAGGCTTTACTGGAGGTGGACGTGAAAACCCATAAAGTTGTAAATTCCTTTTAAATTTTCCAGAAGATTGAAGATTGTGATTGGGGTGGGAGTGAGAGGGTTATTATAGGTAATGTTATATTTCTCAGTACCAGGATAGGACTTCCAAACTATGAATTTATAAAAGGAGGCAAAGACCTTAAAATAGCAAAACTCAGAAAAGATTTTTAAAAAGGAAAGAAAAATTAAGAGGGCAGATATAAGACCAAGCCTATCAGTAAGTATAATAAATATGATTAAAAAGTTAGAAGCTCCCAGATGGGGTTAAAAGTCAAACTTCATGTTCTCAAAATGACATTGAAAGGTTGAAAATAGCAGCACAAGGGATTTATTAGGCAGAAACAACCAGAAAGGAGTAATAATAAAGTCAGATACTTAATATCAGAAATCATTAAATGGGGCAAAGAGGACATTTTATACCTGCCAAGATGTCATTGTTATGAATCATTATGCATTTAATAGGATGTTAACTGTATAAAGCAAAAACTGTTACATATACAAGGGTACTTCAGAAAGTTCTTGGAAAAATAGAATTAAGATCATATGAATCTTCCCATGAACTTTTTGAAGTACCCTCATATAAGAGTTTGGCAAAACTACACTCTTGGTAGACCAACACTCTACCTTTCAGAATTTGGCAAATAAAGAAGGCAGACAATAGATATGAAGACCTTTGTACTTCCGAGTCTCTGGAACATTTTCCCTCAGATAGACATGACTTCCTCCTTTCATTCAGGTCTCTATCCAGATGTCACTGTAAAGGAATCCTCCCTAATACTCTATTGAAATATAGTAGTATGCCCCATCACTTTGTATCCGCTAAGCCTGCTGTATTTTTCATGGCATTCAATACATCCCACAGTATGTATTTGTTAGTTGTTCTTACTAGAACATTAGCTCCATGGGAACAGGGACTGCTGTTTGCCCAGTACCTAGAAGAGTACATAATGCATTATAGGAGCTCAATAAATTTTTATTGAGTGGATGATATAGAACTGTGCTGTCCAATATGCCACTAGTCACATGTCTATTTAAATTAAAATTAAATAAAATTTAAAATTCACCTCCTCAGTCAAACTAATCACAATTCAAGGGCTCAATAGCCATATGTGACTAGTGGCTACCATATTGGACAGTGTAATTATAGAACATTTTCATCACAAAATTCTATTTATCAGATCTTATATAGAAACTTTGCATAATATTTAATAAAGTGATTTTGTGTATGTAACAATTCACCTTTACTGAATGCCCATAGGGCCATTCCAATAATAGATCATGTACTAAGCAGGGAAAATAAAACTCCAAGAAGTAGAGGTTGTGCAGTCATAAGTCAGTAACAACACTGCAATGCACCTGGAGCAAGGAGATAGAACTACTTGGCTTTCTAAGTCTATGGAAATTAAGAAACTCTTCTAAAAGACAAAATCAAAATCAGAATTACTGATTTTGTGGCAACTAAAGTCAAAAAAGAGTATCACAGGCTGGCTGGTTAGCTCAGTTGGTCCAGAGTTTGATTCCTGTACTGGCCAGCCACCAAAAAAAAAAAAAGTATCACATCAAAGCCTGAAATGTGGCCAAAGGTATATTCAGAAGAAGATTCATAGTCTTAAGAATGTGTTTTAAAATTAGGAAGATGGAAAATGAATTAAGCACTCAAGAAAAGAGAACCACAAAGCAACCAAAAGACTGGAATGAAAACTGAATGAATGTTTATACAAAATAAAAGTATGGGGGAGATTCATTTAATTCTAAGAAAATATATATAACTTTATACCAATAAGCTAGAAACCTTAAGTAAAATTGATGACTGTCCAGAAAGATGTAATTTCCAAAACATGTAAGAACAGGTGTAAGAAGAGGTGAATAGCTCAGGAAGACCAAGATTTGCCCCCAACTGGGCACTGGGACTAGATGGTTTTACACGTAGAGTTCTAGCAAACCCTTTAAAGTAAAACAGAGGGGGTTCTGGTCAAGATGGTGGAATAGACAGTCCCCAATGTCACTCTCTCCCACAAAGCAACCAATTTACAACTATAAAAAAGCAATTACAGCCAAGCTGGGGCCACTAGAGCTCAGGAGAAGAGGAGGAGAGACCTACGGAGTTCATGAAGGCAGGAGAAGCCACAATGAGAGAAAGAAAGGATCGCTCCCACCATTTCGAGCCCCAACGGCTTCAAGGCTGGAGCTGGCGAGGACACAGAGCAAGAGCTGACAAAAGCTGCAGCTGTGCCCTTCAGATGAAGTTGCTTGGAGGTGGCAGGGGAGAAAAGGGCCTTGGTGGCCCCAGGCCAGCAAGACCACTGACAGGGTTCCTGTGGACCCACACAAGAGTAAGGAGCCACAGACAACTGAAAAAAGGAGCCACTCAGAGGCTGGTGAGTCATTGCAAGGGACCAGCACACAGCCTGCCCCATGGGAAATGTTTGGAGTGCAGGCAGTGGGGAGATGGGTCCACTGTGGGAACATTGGGGCACAGCTGATTTGCCTTCCAGTCAGCACAGGACTACTCAGTGGAGACTGGTCAGGAATACACATCTGCAGGGGGCACAGTTTGCTGAAAAGTCCCAGGCCCAAACCAGAGTTTCCACACAACTTGGGTTTACTGGAATTCACAAGACCGAAGTCAATAATTAAAACCTGAGCTGCACAAAAAGCTTTCCCCAGGGAATCAGCAGCAAAACAGCAATTTAGCTCAACTACAGGCTCAAGTGCTGGTACCCATAGGAAATTCCTCCATTTCAGAAGCAAAGGACAACAAATTAGTTCCAATGCATAGTTTAAGTGGTGGGAACAGCAAATAAAGAACTGAAAGAAAAAACAAAATATCCAAAGATCAGAGACAAAGTTTGATATTAACTGGTAAAGGTCTACCACCACCAAAGAACACCTATAAAACCTGGATGGACCAGAAGCCCCCTAGGTTCCCAAGCCAGAGACTGGGGGGGTTGGGAGCCTCAGCTATGCCCCACAACATCTGCAACCAGCCCAGCAATGACCATCAGCCTGCCACGGGAAGTGCCCTGGGCTCCCAAGCCAGCATGGTCGGGGGACTGAGGGCCTTGGCCACGCCCCTCCGACACCCACAACCAGTCCAGTGACAACCACAAAGCCACCACAAGAGGCCCCTGGGCTCCTGAGCTGGGGCAGGGGAGGGCTGAGAGCTTCAGCCACATCCCCAACATCTGCATCCAGCCCAGCAATAATCAAGCCACTGGTGGAAGCCCCCTTGTCTCCCCCACAGGAATGAGGAGGGTGCCAGGGGCCTCAACCACATCTCCCCTCCTTCTTCCTTCTCCCACCCTATTTCCTTTCCCCTTCTCCAATTCCCCTCCCCCCCAACTGCTCCACAATGACATCTTAGAATGTAAAAAAAAACTTAAAAAAGAAAAAAAAAAAGTTAAACAGAGGTCTCATAAACCAGGCTATGAGTACTATAAGGACAGGTAGTATTGTTTTATTCACCACTATATTCCCAGCTCCTAGCAGAGCACTTAGCACATAATAAAAACTAAGTAAAAATTTGTTAAGTGACTAAAAGGGACATTTCATTACAGTATTTTTGTGTGTGTATGTAATTTTCAATGAGAGTAAACTACAGTTTTAATTATAAAACCTGATATGGATTGAATTGTGTCCCCCAAGTTTTAAGTATTGAAGCTTAATCCCCATTGTAACTGCTGAAGGTGAGAAATCCTATTATAGTAACTGAAAGGTGGGGCCTTGAAGAGGTGATTAGATTCTGAGGACCATGCCCTAATGAATGGATTAAGAAGGTGGCTATGGGTGTGGTTCTGAGGGCTTTAAAATGAGGGCACAAGAGAATCTCTCTCTTCTCCACCATTTTCTGCCATGTGAGACCCCTGCATCACTGTAAAGCCAACACCAATGAAAACCTTCACTAGATGTGTTCCCTGGACTTTGGACTTCCCAGCCTCCAAAACTGTAAGCAATAAATTTTGTTTTTTGTTTTACAAATTATCCAGTTCCAGGTATTTTATTATAAGTAACAGAAATGAAAATTTACTAATCAAGAATTGTTTTAATTCATAAAAATTATTTATTTCCTGGATGGGCATTACCTCTTATCAAACAACCAGTAAAATATGTGATATATAATTTGTACATTTAAAACTGGGAAACACGACCAATATCTTGATGTACATGAAGACAAACTTCAGGAAACAAACATTAACTATATCCAATACAACTAAAAGGACCTAGACTTTACTTACAAATTGCTTAACTGGAAAACAATTAGTGATTCAGAAATGTTTTCACTGATGGAAAAATAAATCTAACAAAATCAGTATTTAAAAACATTGATTTACAAAGCCAAAATATCTTAGTTTCAATTCTTGTATACCCTAAATGAAGATCATATTAAATGAAAACTATATATATTAAAAGTCCATCTATGTATAAAAAAGGATTTCAGTTGCTTAAGTACTAGATAGAACTTCATATTCATTAAATCTATTCCCAGAATTATGAATTGACTTTTTTCTTTTTTATAGTTTATCAACTACTCCCCATGGTTATTAACAATAGCAGGTATTACTGCTGGACATATTATGTCATTTGTTTCTCCTATAGTACAATATAAAACTTCCAGTCTAATATTTTATGGCCCTGTTTTCAAGCTAATTAGTATTGTAAAAAAATAAAGTTCTAGATATAAGGTTGGTGGTTTAAAGCTCAGTAAATGGTAATCAAACATAACAGATTTTT